TTTTATTTCAATTTATCTTTTTAAGTTTGGGTTTGTACTTGGTCCATCTCACAACTTTTTTAAGGCTTTAGGTTTGTATTTGAGTTCACATGACTTGTTTTCTTTGGATTCGAGGTTTAGTTTTTTTAGATTTTCTTTTGGTTTTCAATTTTCATATTTCTCTTTCTGGTTTGGACTTTTAGCTTTGGGTTATTTTCATTTTCGTTTGGCTTTTGATTTTACTTAAACTTGCTTTAAATTTTAAACTAACTATGGGTTTCAATATTAGAGCTTAGAGAATATAAGATTTATTTATGGGAAAATATGTTTTTTTTGTATAAATATAATTTTATAAAGAAAAACATATTCGAATTTTTTTTTTTGAGAAAAAAGTTGTAAAAAACTAAAGTTATGATGAATTCATAACATAATTCTAAAACTTGGGCCAAAAGGGTAATTTTGGACCAAATTTGTAATAAAATTTAAAATCTGGGCCAAAAGTGTAAATTTTGGACCAAGTTTGTATTAAGTTTTGTAATCTGGGCTAAAAATGTAATTTATGAAAGTTGGATGACCTGTTGACCCAGTAAAAGGGCTAAATTGAATACGATTACCGATTTTGTGGACTTAATTGAATAAAAAAGTATATTAACTAAATCGATTATGAGGACAATATGTAAGAACTTTATTGCAGTTTTCCCTAATTTAAGGGGGTGTTTGTTTTATCTTTTAAAACAACTTTTAGCTTTTAGGAAAAGATAAAAAGGTAAAAGATGTTTGGTAATGTTGTAAAAAATACTTTTTTATATAAGGAAAAATGAATTTTTTGGAAAAGTTACAGAATCCTGACTTTTTGCAACTTTTTCTAAAAGGACTTTTGCCTTTCAAAAGCTTAGCCAAACACCCCTAAATAATGGTGATGTTGAAAACTATTTTTTTGGAAGATCATTTGTCTCTTCCTTTAGATATTTATGATCATATAAGAATCTTGATGTTCTTTGATAAACAATAGATTCCAACTAAAAAGGAGTCGATAGAGAATATGGGCGGTTTTTATTAGGTGTCCGGTATGGCACCAGAAACACCTAGTTCCCGCGTATGCAGTGGTAATTTTTTTCGATTTTTTTTACTTATCGTGCCACTAAGTAAAAAAACCGGCAACTACGTAAAAAAATTGACAACTACATAATTTTTTTTGTCACTCTATCGGATCAAGGAATGTCAAAAATATATTTACAACCTAAAGTTATAATTAGTTATTTAGTTTATAACTTAAACTCTTAATTAGTAGCCTAAAAACATTATTAATTGTAGCCCTAAAAAACAAATAAGTCTAAGAAAAAAGCCCAATGACATTGGTGATGACTTTTTGAACGACGCGCGGTTTCAAAAGATGTCGGCACGAAGATGACAAATTAAATTGTAATAGATAATTGTTATGTTCTTAACTTTTTATGTAATTTATTGTTTTTTAGTAGACGTAATTAATTAATTTTTGGTTTTATATTACGTTTCGCCAGAAAAAATAAAAAATCAGCAACACTTGCTATCAATTCTTGTGTCCGCCCTTGATAGAGAAATATATCAAACAAGGTTGATCTTTATATTATTATCAATAATTTTGTATCTAAAAAAAGCTAGAAAAAATATTTTTCTTTAATGATTAAATTTTCATGGATGTTAGATCATTTTTTTTAAAGTTTGTTTTTTTCTTTTGTTTCGGACCAAATATGTTTAAACTGACTACATCAGTATATGAATAATAACTTGAAAGGGTAACAAACTTTCGATTTTGTTTACATTTAGTCACTAAACTTTTTTTCGTTATCTAGTTGCCACGGAACTATTGAAATTGTTCACATTTTACCCTTATAACCGGTTGTTACCGGTTATAAGGGTAAAATGTGAACAATTTCAATAGTTCAGTGGCAAGTAGATCATGAAAAAAGTTTAGTGACTAAATGTGAACAAAATCGAAAGTTCGCTTCCCTCTAAAAAAGTTCAATGACTAAATGTGAACAAACTTCCTCTAGTATTATGTTTTAGCAAATTATTTATTTTTGTTAATTATAACAACATTTGTTGATGAAGAAATCTATGAAATAAAAAAAAAAACCCGAAAAATATATTAAAAAAAACGAAAACCCAAACTGAAATAAAAAACCAATGATTTGGTATTTTTCAAAATAAAAAATCAAAGTTTCCAATCTGATTTTGGTTTCACAAAATTCAACTTTTGAATTTCTATATATAAATCTCTCTCTCTTTTTATAATCGAAAAATGATTATAAAACCAATAAGGAAATGAGAAAGCGCCCAATTCATAATTTTTCTATCCAAAACTTCCCCTTAACACATGGCATAAACATTTTGCTTCAATCCGAAAAATCCAAAAAATCTTCAATTTTAGCTTCGTTCGCGGACCGTCTTTGACAAAATTTTGAAATTGAGAATTTCTACCCAAATTTTTGTCAAAGTCAATCTGTGAATGAAGCTAAAAATTGAAGATTTTTTTTGGAATTTAATGAATTTAATTAAAATGTTTTTGCCATGTGTTAAAAGGGAGTTTTGGATAGAAAAATTTCGAATTGAGCTCTTTCTCAATCTCTTTTTGGTTTTATAATCATTTTTCGATTATAAGAGAGAGAGAGAGAGAGAGAGAGAGAGAGAGAGAGAGGGAGAGAGATTTAGATATGAAAATTTGAAAGTTGAATTTTTGTAAAACCAAAATCAGATTGAAAACTTTGATTTTTTATTTTGGAAAATACAAAACCATTGGTTTTTTATTTTGGTTTCGGTTTTTCATTTTTTTAAATATACTTTTCAATTTTTTTTTTGTTTTTTTATTTTTTATTATTTTTTATTTCATAGATTTCCTTATCAACAAATGTCGCTAGAATTTAACAACAATAAACAATTTGCTAAAACATAATACAAGAGGAAGTTTGCTCAAATTTAATCATTAAACTTTTTTCGAGGGAAGCGAACTTTTGATTTTTGTTCGTATTTAATCACTAAAGTTTTTTTTATCATCTATTTGCCATTGAACTATTGAAACTGTTCACGTTTTACCATTATGACAGGTAACAACCGATCATAAGGGTAAAATATGAACATTTTTAATAGTTCAGTGGCAAATAGATAACAAAAAAAAGTTTAGTGACTAAATGTGAACAAAATCGAAAGTTCGTTACCCTTTCGAGTCATTATCCCACATTATATTTTCTACAAATATTTTAAAAAGATATTTGGCTTTTTACAAAAGAAACTATCAACTTAATAGTTAATACTATTTAAGTAAATTTGCTCTTTAATACGGTATAATTTCTAGTGTTTTGTACACAAATTTATACATACAATAACGATACTAATAAGAACACATGAAGGTTTAATTTTGCACTTTAATAAGGTATAATTTCTAGTGTTTGGTACACAAAGGATACTAATAAGAACACATGAAGGTTTAATTTTGCACTTTAATAAGGTGTAATTTCTAGTGTTTGGTACACAAGTTTATATATATAATAACTTTAATTTGGCTTATGCAAAATACGTGATCTTGTGATAAAAAAAGCTCCCGGCGAGGATCGAACTCGCGACCTTTCGCTTACGAAGCGAACGCACTACCACTATGCTACGGAAGCAGTTGATTGAAAATTATATTTTTATATATATATTGTAGTTGTTAAACGATGGCTTAAACAACCATTCATTTCACTCTCCCAAATCCCAATGTTCTTACGATAAAATCCAGAGACCAGTAGTCCACTGTCTTCCAGTGTAAAACTCGGATCGTATTTTCCCGATCCGGTGTTTTACTCGAGTGTTTATTCGACCCATATGATCCGATTTCGTTTTAATCAATTGCCTCTCTTATCCATTTCAATTGTCATGTGATTGGAATCTCATTTTGCTGCTTATTACTCAGCGAATCGCGGAAACCCTAACGTACACGTACAACTAGTAAGTTCAAAATTTGGTTAATCGCATGCTCGTTAATTGTTATGTTCATTTGCACGTGATAATGTACGGTGTACCGGATTTGTCATGACAATAAGTTCAAGGTTTTTGTGTGGAATGGATGTAGTGATTATATGAGCGATTTAGGGATTAGGATTTATCATTTTTGTTAGTTGGTTCAAGCAATTGGGTTTCATTTTTCTTTTGTTCTTGAATTGGTTGGAAACGAAGTGATATGAAGTTGATAACATGAGCGATGGAGGTGGTGGAGAGAGTTCAAGAATTAATAATTCTACATTGAAGAAGAGGACGAAGAAAGACGAATTTACAGAGTCACTCGCACGAATTGCAGTGGCCCAAATATGTGAGAGTGTAGGGTTTCGCGGGTTTCAACAGTCCGCACTTGATACATTATCTGATATAACCTGCAAATATATTCAGGACATTGGCAAGACGTCCAATTTCTATGCCAATTTGGCAGGTAGAACGGAAAGTAACATGTTTGATATAGTTCATGGGCTAGAAGATTTGGGGCTTTCACAGGGATTTACAGGTGCTTCCGACATTGATCATTGTTTTTCAGAATCCGGGATTATAAAAGAGATTTCTCAGTATATTGGTGTCTCTGAAGAAGTAGGATTCGCCTATTCCATTCCCCCTTTTCCTGTAATTAAAGAACGGCATCCAATACCAAGTTTCTTTCATGCTGGAAAGACACCCCCAGTGGATCATATCCCCCCTTGGTTACCCTGTTTCCCTGATCCCAATACGTATACTACCTTGGCTTCAGATAGTATTGAACAAACTGAAACAAGACATGATAGAGTTGACCAAGATCAGAAGGTCATGGGGCCGCAATTACTGAATAATCCTTTTCTTGCATTTCCACTAGAATGTGGTGAGAAGGAGGTTTCTTTGGTTTCTCTTCCTGCTAGACTTGTGGAAGAAGAAGTGGCCAGAAATCATAGTTTATGGGCAAAGCATTTGTCTGAGTTGGGGTCATTTGCTCCTGTGATTCATGGGTTTAACAGCAGAGATGCTGATAATGAGGAAAGTAGGAAAGATATTGTTGTAGAAAGAAGTCGTTCAGTGCAATTAAAGTTTCAAATCAGCAAGACATGTTCAGGAAATTTGGAAGCCATGTCTTGGTTTACAACAGATGATGAGTTGAGGGATGACAAGAAAAGAAGAAAAGAGAAAATTCTGATGGAGTTGTTAGAAAATGGAAAGCATACTGAAATGATGCAGATGTAAATTAGGAAGATTAACATAGCAGGATCGTTCCCACTAACATGATTTTAAAGGTATGTTTGTTGTTTCAGTAATGATGATTCTTTTAAATTAAGATTCTTTACTTTTTGTGTATTGTTTTATTTCCTTACCCATGTTGTCTATACATTTGGGCTCTCACCAAGTGTTAAGTTTTATGCTTCTCTTTGTTATAAACAGAACATGTTACTTCATTCAGTTTCACCATACATTGGTATCACATTGTCTTAAATTGTACAATGATACTCATAAATATCTTAATCAAGGAGATGATGTTTTCTCTAGATGAACAGAAGACATTCCTGGTGGCGTTCCAGGCAACCCTTGACTTGGCTGAAATGGGAATGGAGGGAATGGTGGAAGCAATGCTGGTGGCGGCAATGATGGTGGGGGTGGAGATTGAATGAGATTTGGTTGCTGTTGGATTGGTGGAAACGGCAGTGAAGGGAAGAATGATGGTGGTGGAGGTGGTGGCGGTGTGAAGAACTGAGGAGTGAAAGTAGATGGTGGTGGCTGGAATTGGTCATACATTGAATCTGGTGGTGGCTGTAATGGCACTGGATCGAACATGGAATCAGGCGGTGGCTGGAAATCCGGCGTGAACATTGTATCTGGTGGTGGTTGGGGATCAGGAACAAACATGGAATCCGGTGGTGGCTGGAATGGGAACATCGGAATCGCTGAAGGTGGCTGGAATGGAAACATTGGAACCGGTGAAGGTTGTTGAAACTGGTAAGGCAATGGTAGGCCGAAAGCATTTGTGTCTGCTAAATCATTATAGTCCATTGTTGTTTCCACTCCAATAGGTGATGGGAATGGCGTTGCAGCTCTAATTCCATCGTCGGAATTCTTGTTTCTTGTTCCCGTTTGACATTCCCTTAATTGTTTCCTTGGCCGGAATGTAAAAATCCCAGCTGAAAAAATACGATTTCCCGGGGTTTTTGCCTTGAGTGTAATTGACGATTCAGTTGATGTGGCAACCACCGGACAATCCGGTTGATTACTTCTAAGCAACTTAACTGAACACTCCCTGATTTTATCTGTAACCGCATAAGGCAGTTTAACTGTAAACTCGCCTTTCCAATTCGTTTTCACTTCCTCTCGGAATTGCGATTCCATTCCGCTGGCCCCAACTCCGTTCCGACCACATTCCACCACCACCGATGCACCTAAACACAGAATCCACATCACCATTAACCATTGCCGTCTACATAAAAAAGTAATGGGCTGTTTCTTTTTTTCATCAAGTAATAATGTCTATGTATGGATAAAATGATTTATAAATAGTTCTGTTTCTTTTCTAAACTAATCTTATCTTTTAGGCCGATTTACCAATTTACCTTTACATTCCAAAAAAAAAAAACACATTTCACAATCTTCTGTCAATTTTAATGTGAAAAGTTAAGAAGGAAAAAGATGACAAATAGGTAAAGAGTTATTCTCTTAATATATTAAGCCATGTTTTTTTTGGCTCAACTCGGAAAGCTCATTAAAAAAAATACACAAGACTTACCCGAAATGAAGTGACTCGAATGGGAAAAATCTCGATTGAAGCAAGTGTCGCAATAAACAATACCAACAAGTGTAGTGGGGTTAGCCTCGGATACAACTTTCAAAGTCAAACATAGGGTCAACACTATGTTCAAACAAACCCATGACAACATTCTCGAAGCAATCATTACTCTTTGCATGGAATAGAATCACCACAAATTTTATATAGAGGAAACTCGTATCATTTTGTCAATCGCATATGGTTTGGTCAAAATAATAGGATTATACAAATGTTTGTATTTGTATGCATGTATATTTCTTGGTTGTCTATTGGTTGCAAACGTGTATTGAGCCATGAGGCCAGTTGTTGGTTCACATGAATGTTATGGTACATTTCAAAACCCAAAACTTACAAATATAATTTTATTATTATATATTAAAAAAAAAAAAAAGAGAGAGAGAGATGAAGCAAAAAGGCTACAGAAGTTCGCTATCATAAAATGTAAGAAGTTGCTTCACGTGATTATGCCAAGCTGCAACGTTTTGTCCATCTACAGTTACCCAATCAACAACTGTTGATGCTGGTTGTTCCCACCATTCATCAAGCTGCATCAAAATTACATCTCATTCAGCTTTATAATAAAAAAAAATTACAGATTTTATTAAAAAGAATGGAAAAATCGATGCTTACCAAACCGCAAACATATTTGCAATCCTCCAGTGATTTCTGAGCATTTGAAACTCCATTTTTTAACTCAGGCATCCACTTTTCTGAAACTATCTCCATTTGTTCAGAAGCCAAATCTAAACAGTAATTCGTTGTCCTGAAAGATATAAAATAATGTAAAGGGTGTAGAAAAAAGAACTATAAATATATATAGACAAAAAATAATTAACATATTACCCTTTATATTCTTTTTGAGTATGATAAGCATGATTTAATAATGTGTGACCACTTTCAACAAGTTCCTTTTTTGTATGGACCATATTCATAGCATTTGATAAGTCCTCCAATAAACAAGCCTCGGACCCACGCAACTTTAAACAAAATTCCATTGATTCCAACACGGATGCTAGGCTAGCTTCTGAACCTTCCACACCTAAATTACAGGAAATAGCAACGTACTTATTATTTATTTATTTTTTTACAAAATCCAAAAAAAACAAAACTAAGGTACATTGCCTATATAGGCAAAAAGAGTATTAAACATACCTGCAGGATACTGGAGGGCTGCAGAAACACGGGAAATGGAAGGAATTGCAGAAGGGTCTCCTCCACCAGCTCTTGCTGTCAGTAGAGTGGCATTCTTTTCTGCAATAGCACCTGCTTCGGGTCCAGTGGGCCCATTTGGAATCATGGATTCCAACAGTGCTTGTGGAGTTGATGGAAGCATGTAAAGAGTATTATCAGGTATGCGAAAAAAGGCCGAAGCTTCTTTATCAATAAGATCTTTTGTGTTGTTTGTTATGTTGATAACAACTCCACATTCTGGAATGATGGTATTTGATGCATGCTCTCTTGCAATCAAAGGTTGTTGACTCCAGAATGCAGCAGCATCCATGTTTGCTTTCATAAGAGTGTTACAGATGAACTTAAGCTCTGACCTTCTACTATCAAATTCTTCAATTTTCTTCCACTTTTTCTTTAAAGAATCTTCAGCTTCCTTTCTATCTTCACACAGCATGTTCAAACGCTCAACTTCAGACATCAAAGTGGTCAAGCTCGCCTTTAATCCAGAAGCTTCTCTTTCCATGGCCCACACCTCCAGCTGTACAGACAGAAAACAGTTAATTAAGAGGCATTTGAAAGGTTTGTTTAACTTGTATTACCTCCAACTGTCTGAGACTACTCATGTTCTGTGAAAAAGAGTCTTCATCATCACTTCCATACAGACGCCTTTGAAGTTTCTGGAATGCACTTTTAGCCTCTGCAGCTTTATTGAGTTGATCTTCAGTAGCCACAAATTGTTGAACATGTGCTTTCTGTATGCATTGGCTTCCATAAATAAAGCTAAATGGCATATGTTGTGAAGGGTATAAAGTAGAGAGAAAATACCTGTCTTTCAAGAAGTTGATTTTGAGTTCCTTTTGAAGCAATATTACCATTACCATAAAGTTGCAACTGTAATGGTGAGCTGGCATCAGGGGAAGCATCCATTACTCTGTTGTTCTCATACTTGTACCTTAATGTTTCTGCATCGGCTTTAATGTCAATCTTCTCTGTTTCTTTAGCAATTAAAGATTTCAACTTTTGAGTGTAAGTGATTAAAGATAGAAGCAACTGAGGAGGACTTTTGAGACAGTTATGAATCACGTCTTGGATTTCATCTGGTATGTCTCCATCAACATCAATCCCTAACTTGTCAGTTTCTTGTTGTGGGTTTGAATGAATACCAATTCCTTCGTATGCAGGAAAGGAATTATGGATCTTTTCTGTCATATGTACTGCAAGCCATTCACATGCCTTGCGTATATTCCTTTCCTTGTTCGTTTCATTTAGAAATGTGTCTTCTTGTTTGGAAGAATCAGCCTCCAGTCTCTGAGAATCCTTTGCTTGATTAACATAGGAAGAAAGACGCTTATGATACTGGGAGAATATTCTAATTGCTTCATCACACTGTTGATTATAAGCTTCCAATGTCACCTGTTTATGCCTACACTATGAACGAGAATATGTATTATACTCCACATTAAGAATGAGATTCGTTTTCAGTACAACAAACCTGTAATTTGATCGTTCATCAAGCATTCTTTTACGGTCTGCCTCTTCACGTGAAACCTCTAACATTCGTGCCTTTAACTCCTTCCTTTGGCGTCTCACAATACGCCTCAACCTCTCCACTTCCTTTTCAGCTGAATCTCTTTCCTGAAGAGCTGTCTCTCTGTTATTGATGTCCCCTGCATTCGTGCTTTCAATCCTTCCCTTTGGTTTCTCTTTCCTGTTTGCTCCTCTAGTCCCTTTCCCAACCTTGCCATTTTTGCTAGATTCTGTACTGTCATGGCCACTAGCGTTGTCTTCTCTACCATGGACGAGGATGTTCCGCCGGATATCATTAACCGTCTTCACCGATTTAACCCTCTTTAATAGAAAATTAAAAACAGGGATCATATTCCCACGACAAACCCTACGAATTGCGTCAGATGATGGCATTGATGCCTTACTCGAAGCCATGTAAGGGCCAAGAGGTCTATATCCCATTTCCTTCTGGAGCCAATCTAATATGGCTTCTGGCTGGGCGACAGAGCTCGTCGACGAGCTCTGCATTTTTGCGAGAAACCCAAAAACTAGGGTTTTAAAATACCAATTTGACTAATTTGACACTGAATTGGAAACCTCGATATATAGAATTTCAATCATCAAGTCGGGTAGTGGAACAAAAACGCTATGATCGGTTGAGAAATTAAGAAGGTTATGGAAAGCAAGTAGATCTGAAGAAGTTGGTGGGTTTCGCCGATAATTTACAAGGTTTTAGATCGAATGGAAAAGCATATTGAAAGATATTACAGCGTGTAGTTGCTCCACTGGTCGGGAAATTGATCGGAGTTGTTGACAATGAGCGATCTGAGTATGACTCTGAATGTTCAAATGGAATGTCCCGCCCGTAATCGTGAAATGGTTTTGGATTCCACCACATTCTTCCTATTGTTACCGGACATCGCCTATGGCATGCATTTTAGATTTTAGCTATAGAGATAATTAGATATTACATTTTAGTAAATTGCAAAAATGGCTTGGTGTTTTGTACTTTTTATTCCTAGTTAAAAGCCTAAAAGAGAATCTTACGAGTTATCCATTACAAAAACATCAGGTAAAAACTTATAATATAAACAAAAAAATTATGTTTCGGAAGTAGATAATAGGAGGATATAATAAGGCTTTATAAAAGTTATATGAAATAAGAAGTCGCCCTTAAAGTTCCATGATGTGTTAAGATAGTATTATTCTTAAATATTATATACTAAGTGTAAAACCTATGTATTATATGGGTTTAATTAAAAAAATATATATAAAAAATTTTAACAATTTGAAAAGTTTGAATTTATAAGAAAAATAAGAAAAATTTGAATTATTAAAATTAATGAGACTTTAATGTATTGAATACATTACATATATAAATTCTTTTTAATAAATACTTTACATATATATTACCTTACACATTAAATGTGGAATTTTAATTTAATAAAATGAAAAATACAATAAAATAACAAGTGGGAAATAGAAAATTTTAAAAATCTAGAAAATATCATATGTCCAAATGAATGAGAAAATGACATGTGGCAAAAAAACCTTCATTTATTATAGTAGATTACTATATCAAGGTGGTCGATTAATGATCGTTTGAGATATAAACATTCCACAATGAAGTGGATGTGAAGTTTGAATATCACAAGCTTCAACTTTATGGTCATTTTTATGGTGGTCTATTGTTAAATAAATAAATAAATAAGCTTAATTGTTGTATATTGAAATAAGTATATTGTTATAAAATGATATACAGAGATCAAGTAATTTGCTTTACCTTATAGAATGAAATGTTTGCAATTAAAATAAGGGTATAAAGGTGTATATTATGACTATGAACAAATTATAATGATTATTTTACACGCTCAAAATAACAACGTAAGCATTAATATCGTATCATCTATCATTTTCGAAATACCAAATATAAGGGACATATCATATAAGGCTTTTCACACATCCCTAGTTAAGCCTTTCCTTTCCCCATGTCCCTACATATCACACCCTAAATGCATCTTAATGATAAATGTTATATATTTACATGTATAAAAACGATGAAATTCATGCATGAATGTTTATTGTGAATGTTCGACTTAACATTCTAATGTAACTCTTATGAGACTCCTCTTAACTATGAATGGCCCTACTCAAGCATCAATATGATATTGTCACTACTCAAGTGACCAAGGGTATGAGTTCACATTTAAAAAAACTATGAACATTGGCCCCACTTAAGAAACCAAACATAAATTACTACTTAATCAATCACATGTCAATGTCCCTACTTTTAAGTAACCAAACATAAATTACTACTTAATCAACCACATGTCATTGTCCCTACTTAAGAGACCAAGTGAACTCCATTTTATTCATGTGCATTGAATGACTATGACCAACTCTACATATTACTTTAGAAAGAGACTTGAAATTCCAAGGTCTTCTTCTTGGTATAGCCAATTC